CCCACAGGCCGCTGGTCTCGCGAGAGTTATTAGAAGAGAGGTGAAGACAAGAGTAGAAGCTGTGTGCTGGGCCCCCTCTGCGGTAACAGGGAGCTGGGGGGGGGCCCTCATGCCACCGGACCACCAAGGATGGAATCTAGACACAGGTAAGAAGCAGGGAGGGGGGAGAAACATTTAATTAAATTAATATAAAATTAATGTGAAAATGCCCCTTCCTCCCCTCCACCCCCAGATTGCACATTTACACACACTGCATACACTAACACAACACACACTGCATACACTAACACAACACACACACACACACTGCATACACTAATACAACACACATCCTGCATTCACTAATACAACACACACACTGAATAGACTAATACAACACACACACTGCATACACTAACACAACACACACGCTGCATACACTAATACAACACACACACTGAATACACTAATACAACACACACGCTGCATACACTAATACAACACACACACTGAATACACTAATACAACACACATACCGCATACACTAATACATCACACACTCTGCATACACTAACACAACACACACTGCATACACAGAGGTGAAGACAAGAGTAGAAGCTGTGTGCTGGGCCCCCTCTGCGGTAACAGGGAGCTGGGGGGGGCCCTCATGCCACCGGACCACCAAGGATGGAATCTGGACACAGGTAAGAAGCAGGGAGGGGGGAGAAACATTTAATTAAATTAATATAAAATTAATGTGAAAATGCCCCTTCCTCCCCTCCACCCCCAGATTGCACATTTACACACACTGCATACACTAACACAACACACACTGCATACACTAATACAACACACACTGCATACACTAACACAACACACACACACACACCGCATACACAAATACAACACACATCCTGCATTCACTAATACAACACACACACTGAATAGACTAATACAACACACACTGCATACACTAATACAACACACACACTGCATACACTAACACAACACACACGCTGCATACACTAATACAACACACACACTGAATACACTAATACAACACACACACCGCATACACTAATACATCACACACTCTGCATACACTAATATATCACACACTCTGCATACACTAACACAACACACACACACACTGCATACACTAATACAACACACACACTGTATAAACTAATACAACACACACACTGCATACACCAATACAACACACACTCTGCATACACTAATACAACACACACTCTGCATACACTACCCTGACACACACTCTGCATTCACTACACTAACACACACTCTGCATTCATTACACACTAATGAGAGGGGGGCCCAGACCTTGTGCTTTGTCAGGGGCCCCAAAGTTTCTGATGGTGGCCCTGGTCCCATCTGATCTAGGACAGCTGGGAGGTGTGCTGTTAAGCAAAACTCTCTGAAACAATTACAATGACTGAAGAGAAACAAAAACTATATCTACTGGCCATTTTACTAGACAGATTGTATTATCTTGGAATCTGTGATGGATCCACGTTAAATGACACTTGTATAACAATGTAGCCCACACAATAAGTACAATACGCACTGTACTATACTCATTCATATATAAACAATGATCTAGTTCCCATTGAGAATAATCACGCATGCTGTGTCTATGTTCAGTACTGGGGGCCAAGAGTTTGTGCGACAGTCAACATATAAACAGAAGTTAAAAATACCTGGACAGACTTAGCACTCCCAAAAATAACCCTTTACTGCCACCCCTGTTACAACAGGTTTCTAATATTGAAAGGGTTTCAAATAGGAGTTCTGCAAGATGAGCATAACACGTTAGGAAACCATTTATCGGTAATGCCATCAGCGTGCTACCCATAGAGCCTACAATTTGGTCTTCACACACCTAAATTCAGCAGTGATGGAGAGGGTTGAAAACCACCGCCTTGTGGTACATACATTCACACACACATATATACATACTTATACAGATATACACACACATGAAACACACAGATACACACACATAAGGGAATCTCAATGTATCCTTCCTGGTAAAATATTTTATAAATAAATAAATATAAACACACTGATACACGCTAATTAATACACACACACACAACACATGTACACTGACACAGAGATACACAAATTGACACATGCATACTCCTTGACACATGCACACAACCTGACACACAGATACACACAATGACATATACACACTTTGACATACAGATACAAACACACACACTGACACATAGATACACACTCTGAAACACAGATATACTACACCCTGACACACAGATACAAACACAGATACTGACACATAGATACACACTCTGAAACAGATATACTACACCCTGACACACAGATACAAACACACACACTGACACATAGATACACACTCTGAAACACATCTATACTACACCCTGACACACAGATACAAACACAGATACTGACACATAGATACACACTCTGAAACACAGATATACTACACCCTGACACACAGATACAAACACACACACTGACACATAGATACACACTCTGAAACACAGATATACTACACCCTGACACACAGATACACACAATGACATATACACACCCTGACATACAGATACAAACACACACTGGCACATAGATACACACTCTGAAACACAGATATACTACACCCTGACACAGATACAAACACAGACACTGACACATAGATACACACTCTGAAACACAGATATACTACACCCTGACACACAGATACACATAATGACATATACACACCCTGACATACAGATACAAACACACACACTGACACATAGATACACACTCTGAAACACAGATATACTACACCCTGACACACAGATACAAATACACACACTGACAAATACACACAATGACAGAAAAATAAAAACACACTGACATATACAGACCCTGACACACAGATATACACACACTGACATATACACACCCTGACACACAGATATACACACTGACATATACACACCCTGACACACAGATTTTACCCCACTCCCTCTAGCATGTAAGCTCATTGAGCAGGGTCCTCAACCCCTCTGTTCCTGTGTGTCCAACTTGTCTGGTTACAACTACATGTCTTTTCGTCCACCCATTGTAAAGCGCTGCGGAATTTGACGGCGCTCTATAAATATCATAATAATAATAATAATAATATGCCTCGTTTCCACTGAGTGGATCAGTTCGGGTCGGTTCGGTACGGTACGCTATTTTAAGTGTTTCCATTATGAAAGTGGCCCATACAACCGAACCAAACCGCACCTTTCAGGGTCCCCCTTCAGATGTAGGGCCATAGGAAATGGTACGGTATGGTTAGGGCGGAGCAACTGGCGTCACACAATACATTCCACTGATTGGCGGACAGAAAAACGTCAATGCTCACGTCAAAGGCAAGTGCGAAACAAACACCATGTCGCCGTTTAGTTCAGATAATAGGAGAAGGATGCCTGCAAACAACAGCAAGGTCTGGTCTGCTCAGGAACTATCCACTTCCCTAACTATAATTGGCGATAGCGTTATTCAGAGTGAGCTTGATGGATCAGTGAGAAATGAAAAGGTGTATAAAGATATTTCTCAGCGGATGGCAGCTGAGGGATTTGAGCGGACATCGGGTCAGTGTAGGGCAAAGCTTAAAAAGCTGAAAGGCCAATATAAAAAAATTAAGGATACCAACAGTCGTAGTGGAAACAGTCAAAGTACTTGGAAGTGGTACGATGCCATGGATGCCATTTACGGTCATAAGCCGGCAAACCAAGGCAGGGAGGGAGGTCTGGACTCTGCATCTGCACTTCTTGAATCCATGATAGAACCATGATAGAACTTTGCATTGGCTTTCGCTCTGCTAACCATTTAAAAGTTAACTGCACAAAACCATTAACTATTTGCACAAAAAAACACATTTTATTTGTACAGTGGACTGAACTATTGATCTGTGCATTTTCAGATACAGTTGATGGACTCTCCAATGATACCTCAACCTTGTCTTGTGTTTCTGACGATGGTCCATCAACGTCGTTCAGCAGCACCAGTACGATGACGTCAACACCGACCCAACCACAGACCCAACCACAGAGTATGCCCAATGCACCCCGGCACACTGGTAAGACATGATGCTCAGAGTGAAAGTTGTAATTGTACATTTTCCTAACTTTTAATTCACAGCAAACTGCGAACTCACTCAAAATGCTTCTATGTAGTTTGTTTGCCTAATTAAAACCATAATCATAATTGTACATTGTCTGGATATACTGCTATTTAAATTTCATTGTGTTTTGAGCTTATCTTAAATATATTGTGTTTATTGTGTTTTATTTTAATTTGTGCTTATACTATAATGTGTTACATCTTTTCTTTATTTACATTATGTTAGATAATATATATATCCACCAGTTTTTTGTACCAATTGCTAAAAAAAACAACACCTTTCTGGTCTTTTGTATATTCCAGGTGATAGGAGACGGTTTCAGCTGGATTTGCGCACAGTCATGGAGGATATGCAGGCAGCAGAGGAAAGGCAGCAGGAAAGGATAGAGAACCTTTCTGAGTGGCGGTTTCAGGCACTGCGTCAGGATGCCCAGGAAGCGAGGCGCCAGGAGACAGAAATCGCCCGGCAGCAGATGGAGCAGTTGGCTACCTTCAACTGTCCTTGGCAGCTTGTTCAAGTGCTGGGAGGCAGTCGTGATCCCAGGTCACCGCCCAGGCAGTAGTGCCTTTCAGCCAGCACAGGACCTGTACACTTTATTTTTATTTTTTGGTAAAAATATTTATTTTTTGTAAAAAAGGTTTATTTGTAAATATATTTTTTTACTCTGTACTTGTAAGTATATTTTGAAAGATCACTTTTTTAGTTGAATAAAAAACAGGAGAGACTTTGTGTTGAGGTGCCGCATCAGAGCCTGACGTATTTCACTGCACTCTTCTTCGCTATCCTGTGTAATTACCCGTCCTGGCTCTTCTGCAAACGTATTCCAATCCTGGTGGAAGTCTTTTCCATGTCTTTCTCAAAGATTGTGAAGAGCACAGCAAGTAAGCACCATGGATTTGACAAGTGCAATGTCACTGTCATTCCTCTTCATAAGACAACGCCACCTACCCTTAAGTCTCCCGAATGCATTTTCAACTACGACCCATGCCCTGGATGTTTTCTTGTTGTAGGTTTGTTGTTCTGGTGTCAGGCGGCCATTGTCAGCTTTAAGCTTTTGCCAGTCCGGAAAATGAATAATTTCAGGAGCTAGCAATGTGCATACAGCCTTACAGAAGTCCTCCACACACCGGCACACTGATGATTTACTGACACCATAAAGATGACCTATACTTCTGTATTCACTGTTGGTAGCCAGCTTCCACAGTGCAATGGCAACTCTTTTCCTCACAAGCAAACAGGCTCTGAAGTTGGTGGTTTGCTTCTCCATCGCTGGACGTAGCTTTGCACAAAGGTATAAAAATGTTTCCTCCGACATTCTGAAATTGTGCACCCACTGTGTGTGTGTGAATCCAGGGACGGTCACATCCCACCACTTATTAGCGCGGCGGAGAGCCCAAATGACTGGTCGGCGGCGCTGCTTTGACAAAAGGAGAAGCATCTAAAAAAAAAAAGACAGATGTTACCATATCACTAATAATACAACATAAAATACTTTACACGGACAGATAGCATCATGTATAAAAGCGAGCAACATAAATAACATAAGGAGTATTTATGTATAAGGTGTAATTCTTGAATTTTACATATGTGTGCAACATGTATGTTGTTAAATACATAATGTATATCCTTCCCATCTTATATTCGATTTTTTTACATATTCTGTATTATTTTTATTTTTTAATACGTGTAGAACTACATGACAAATGGCATAAAGTTGCTTACCCTAAAGCGCTGCCGTCTTTGTCTTTCGCGCACACAGGTGTACTTCTCCTCCCAGCTCAAGACCCAAGCCATAAGTTTTCTTCTCTTTTCCGCTGTGTTTTTATTCGCCGCTCGCAACCTTCTCACATAAAGTGCGGCATGTACTTTAATTTCAAAGAACCAAAAGCCAAATAGAGCAAAGACGAGCTGCTGGATGGCCTCCATTATTGTTATTTGTAGCGTCACGTATGTTGTCGCACTAGTGTGACGCCACACTAGGCATTTGGCGTAAACCACGCAAGCCTCCAGGCGTTCCAACATGCAGTGGAAACGCTCGCCGGAATAGGCCGGACCATTCAAAACCTTCCAAACTGCACCGACCCGAACCGATCAGCTCAGTGGAAACGAGGCATAACATATACACACCCTGACACACACACTGGCACACGGGTACAAAAACACACACATTGACATATACATACACCTTGACACACACACAATCTGACATACATGATGTCCCGTACAACTCTAATGACCAGATCAACAGACACTTAGCTTTATAGCTAGTCACCTTCCCAACATCTTGCAGCTGAGGAATGTATATAGTTTATAGCTAACTATACTCTAAGGACTGGTGAGTCAAGAAGAAGTGGGGCAGCTACCTCTAAACTTTCAAAGGGTTCAAAAACACAATTTGGTAAAAGTAATATTAATTTTATGGATGCAAATCATTCACGTTTGCTATTTTGGAGGCAAAAATAACCTGCCAGATTAATAAGAATGAGGACTGAAGGAGGTTGCATCAGACACAGTGAGTTAGAAAATATGGATCCAAATATCAGTTGCCTATCTTTTTTTTTTTTCTGCAAGGCACCTGAAATAAAAGTAATATATGTCGAAATGACAAAAAAAAGAAAGAAAATAAAAAAGCAGCCAACTCTGGACTTAAAATGTCATCAAGTTTATTCAGGAAAGCAGCTGTTTTCTACAACTCTGTTCAGAATTCTATTTTTATTGGGTGACTACCAGGCATTACACCTTTAAATTATGAATTTGAGAGAGAATGCTAGTTTAACCCTTTAAGAGTGAAACCATAGCGCTAACCATTATTTTAGCTTCCGTTTAGAAAATGCCCAAAATTGCAATTTCAAATAGTTTGCAAATTTTGTAATTGTGGGGACATTCAGAATTTTATAAATCGCCCCAGGCGCATACACAGTGAGTAAAAATACTCTGATACGATTTGAAGGTATTTGTTTTTAAAGGTACACTCAAAGCACCATAACCACTGCAGCCACTTAGCACCTACTGACACTGCCAGGCTTAACTCAGAGTAGAAATTAGGCAGCAGAGGAGATGGTGACAGGCTTCCAGCAGACTCAAGGTAGAACTGTAGTGGCTATGGTGTTTGGAGCATTCCTTAAAAATTTTCTGAAGAATTTATGGAGAAATAGATCACATTAAAAATCAATGTGATCTTTTATGATACAGGTACTGGTTATTTCAAATACGTGGGTTAAACCTGCCTAAAATGGGGCACATTGATGTTATAGCAGGCTTATGCAGAGTATGATCATATACTGTATCTAAACTCCCATCTGATTACGTATGTTGCCAGCGTGCAGTGCTGCCGACAGACGTAATCCTTGCATATGTGCGTGGGGTGTAACTAGAACCCGCAGCAAAAGTGCAGATTACTCTTTATATGCAATCTTTCAAGCAGAAATGCTGAACATACAGACTTCTTTCACCAGGACTGCTTCTAAAAGCAGAAGTGGTCGTGGAGGTTAGGGGTAACCCTTTAAAGGGACACTACAGGCACCCAGACCACTTCAGCTCATTGAAGTGGTCTGGGTGCAGTGTCCCAGGTCCCTTAACCCTGCAATGGTAATTATTGCAGTTTTTACTCTCCACTTTTTGTCACCTAACTGATGCTGGACATCCTCATGCTCTGAATGAGGACATCTAGCATCACCTGAAACCCCATAGGAAAGCATTATACAATTATACAATGCTTTCCTATGGGTTAAGTCCTAATGCATGCGTAGCATAGGTGGAGCCTGAACCAGCTCCGAAGGACATAGACACTGGAATCAGGTAAGTGACCTAAGAGGTTTTTAACAACTTCTACACCACGAGGGGGTGGGGAGCGAGGGATGCACTATAGGGACAACTTTGTTTTCCCGGCACTATAGCTTCCCTTTAACCTGGCACTGCAGAGACCCCCAAGAGGATGGATTTCCCAAGTAAGTGGATAAATCTCATAAGTGAAGACATTAAGTTTCTAGGATAGGTCCTCCAAAAATTAGATACATTGGCATTGTGAGAAACTTATACAATGTATGATCATATACTGTAATTAAACCCCCATATTTTTGCACGCAGGTGTTTAAAAAAAAAAAACAATAACATTTTGTGAGTTTGAAAGTTAGTGTTTAGTTTGTGAGTAAGTGTGCTGGTCGTGTTGTGCCAGTTCTGTGTCTCCTCAAGCTTCCATTTTCCTCCGAGTTGTCTCAGTTCCACTGCTTAATTTCAAGGGGCTGTCAGGGCACTGGTTGTGTGAGGCTTGATGTCCCTATGCTTGTAGCATTCCAGACGACAGCTGGGAGAGCTAAGAATAAAATCTACCCCACCCAGCACAGGGATCGGCCTGCTTCACGGGCCCGCTTTGATGGAAGTTGTGGGGGCGCAGTTTATTTCTGTATGAACATACCGGGCGTCTGATTCCATTAACTGTGAACATGCTCAATATAAGCAATAATTATTATGTATTTATAATCTATAGCTAAAAATGGTGCCATCCCAATAATGCAGAAAAAAACATCATAGTCTGACTCCAAAATACACCAAACTATTGCACCCATACAATAAATATAAAATAGGTCAAAAACCAAGGGAGGTTTTTAATATTTTCACTCACCCTTACCATGCGTGTAGTAATTTGAAAAATCTACTCAATCCTGGCTATAATGTTGGTTCAAGAGGGTCTGTTGGCCCCACCTTTGCAGGACAGCACCAGAATTAGGCAATCCCGTCTTTAGTCAGGGGCCACCAGGAGAAGAGATAGGTGGTAGAGAGAGGGTCTGTTTACAGCGACTCCATTAACAATCTGTGTGGCTCGTGGTGGCAAATCCACTAATCTGAAGGGATGGCCATATATTTTTATGCAGGCAGTATATATATTTACATTATTACTATTAAAACTTCTCTGTGTGAGCAGTCATTTATATTGCAAACTAAGTAAACTTACTAGGCTAAGTGCTAAATTAGGAGCAGTCACCATAGAAACCAATAGACTTTCAATCAGAATTTAGCTCTTTGGAGCAGATTAGTAATTATCTAGAACTGATGAGAATTTCCCCATGTATTCACGCCTGTTGAGAAAATTGTCTAAGGCCTCATTCACAAGTAGATTGGTCCAAAAAGTCTGAATTGTCAATAAATCAAAAGAGTTGAAAGCAAATGGAAAATTTGGGGCTAAAGTAGCAACAGGAACAATTCTCGGCTGAGTTTTCAGTTTTGGATATTTTGGTCTGAAATCTGAAAAATTACATTCAGGATTATTCCCTGAACTAGACGTTTCCACAAGTTACTTCTGAATGGCAAAACTGAGGCAAAAATATCTCAGCTGTGACTACAGTTGATTCGGAGGATTCCAGATGAGCAATTCCTGCCTCAGTTTTGCAATTCGGAATTAATTCATGAAAATCTAGACTTTAGTAAATAACCTTAATTTATTAAATTTTGCAATTCCACACGAGTAATTTGTCCTCAACAACAGAAAACATAATCTGAGCTGCCACTCTACACCTTGTTTTTAAAGCACTATACAAGGAAAAGAGAGTTTGGCTATTTTGGGCTCAAATGTAAATTTCACAATGAATCCCTGCACCACGACACTAATGGCATGCGCCCCACAGCTACATAATATTTTATACTGTCCTGCCAAGAGACATCTTATTAAAATGAAGAGAATTTCCAGGTCAGTTTAGGACAAGTGGTCTTCTTACCAACACCCTACTGCGTGGCATCTCAACATGAATAAATACAGAAATGTTCAGAAATATTCACAAAAGCAGTTGCAAAATATATCTAGAAAATAAGATCAGTTCCCTACACCATCTAGTGGCAAAATATTGGAATTGCATGACTAATATCTCTTAAAGGACCACTCTAGGCACCCAGACCACTTCAGCTTAATGAAGTGGTTTGGGTGCCAGGTCCCTCTAGGATTAACCCATTATTTTATAAACATAGCAGTTTCAGAGAAACTGCTATGTTTATAAATGGGCTAATCCAGCCTCTAAAGCCTCTAGTGGCTGTCTCATTGACAGCAGCTAGAGGCGTTTGCGTGCTTCTCACTGTGAAAATCACAGTGAGAAGACTCCAGCGTCCATAGGAAAGCATTATGAATGCTTTCCTATGAGACTGGCTGAATGCGCGCGCAGTTCCTGTCGAGCATGCGCATTCAGCCGAAGAGGAGGATCGGAGGCAGAGAGGAGGAGGAGAGCTCCCCGCCCGGCGCTGGAAAAAAGGTAAGATTTAACCCTTTCCTCTCCCCCAGAGCCCGGCAGGAGGGGGACCCTGAGGGTGGGGGCACCCTCAGGGCACTATAGTGCCAGGAAAACGAGTATGTTTTCCTGGCACTATAGTGGTCCTGTAAAGCAGGACTGTCAAATGGACTGTCCCCACAATCTGTTTGTACTCATTCTTGATTATCTTTTTTTTAATTTATTTTTTATTTCATTGTAGCTCTTATTATTTAACTAACATTGCGTGTATAGCTGTTCTATTACAGCTCGGGCGTGTTGGGTAAATTAATTTAACCCTCACAGCGCAGTATGTGAGGGTAATGCAAGGAATGTGAGCAAGATATTACTTTGCTGCAGAGGGATTTAGATAGACTGGGGGACTGGGCACTCAAATGGCAGATGAAATTTAATGTTGAAAAATGCAAAGTTATGCACTTCGGCGTAAAGAATACACAAGCAACGTATACCCTTAATGGAGGCGAATTAGGGATAACAACACATGAAAAGGACTTGGGAATTGTTATAGACAACAAACTATGCAACAATGTGCAATGTCAATCAGCAGTGGCCAAGGCCAGTAAGGTATTGTCATGCATGAAAAAGGGCATTCATTCTCGGACAAGAATATAATTTTGCCTCTTTATAAATCACTGGTAAGACCTCATATTGAATATGCTGTGCAATTTTGGGCAC